TCCAGACCTCTGTGGCCAGTTCCAGACCTCTGTGGCCAGTTCCAGACCTCAGTTCCAGACCTCAGTTCCAGACCTCTGTGGCCAGTTCCAGACCTGAGTATGGGGACCGTTTCTCGATTTAATATATCCATGTCATCCGTGTGCAGGGGCCATGCTCCAGACCTCAGTATGGGGACCGTTTCTCAGTTCCAGACCTCAGTTCCAGACCTCAGTTGTCGCCAGTTCCAGACCTGAGTATGGGGACCTCAGTTCCAGCCCTCAGTTTCAGAGTCTGTGGCCAGTTCCTGACCTGAGTTCCAGGCCTCTGTGGCAGTTCCAGACCTATGTGGCTTGTTCCAGACCTCTGTGTCCAGTTCCAGACCTCAGTTCCAGGCCTCAGTTCCAGACTTCTGGGCCCAGTTCCAGACGTCAGTTCCGGAGCTCTGTGGGAGAGCACCATTGTTGATGCCCTGGAACAATGCAATTCTCGCCTTTTGGTATGGGGTCAGTTTCTCGATTTAATATGCATGTCATCCGTGCGCAGGGGCCATGCTAGTTGAGTGTGGTGTTGTGTCGAGCTTGGACAATACGGCCTTGCAAAGGGGAGGTGGACATCAAGACTAGTGTGGTTCCACTTTTGAACACAGTGTCCTGGCTGGCTGTAGTGGTTAAGACACTCAGCTCTTGAGGCCGAGGTCGCCGGTTCAAATCCGTCCAGGTGCCCATGGAGGAGGGCTCAAGTCAGGTCCATTTGAGGTATTTAACCAAACGTCCAGGTGCGCATGGAGGAGGGCTCAAGTCAGGTCCATTTGAGATATTTAACCAAACCTTGCTAATCTTGTCTAGGTTCTGTGTATAGTTGCAGTGCAGTTTGAGCAGATGCCCCCAAGTACAGCAACATGCACCGATGCAACTCTTGTATTGAATAAACCGGCAGTCGGTCATCCGACGCGGAGTTACTTGTTCTTACCGCGGTTAAACTGCCAGTACCTCCGGAAGCCACGGCGGTTAACAAGCCACGACAATGATGAATGAACAGGCCACTACCGGAGCGACCAAATTCGTCCGCAACTCTTCCGTTGAATAAACCGGCAGGAGGTCACCCGACACGGAGTTACTTGTTCTTAGTACCGGGCCCCCGTTAAACCACCAGTACCTGCGGAAGTCGCGGCGGTTAACAAGCCACGACAACGATGAATGAACGGCCACTACCGGAGCAACCAAATTCATCCCACTACAAATGCTTCTACTCTATTTTTTTCCCGCTGCCAATATACGTGAAAGGTACTGGTGGTTTAAACCGCGGTAAGAGGGCATTTACTAGTCGGGCCAATGCTGGTGGCGAAAGCGGCAGGCCACTTTGAAAAGGCGCAGCGGTCGCAGGCTTGAGAGCTGCCTTGGAAAGGTAGGTAGCTTTGACAAACTACACTTAGGCTCATTACGTGTCAACGGGTGGTTTCAAAGTTACAGGCGCGCAGCAGGAATCCACAGTTAATGCCTGGTGGTGTGAACCGCCAGGCGGCTCAAAGCACTGGGAACGGCGGGAAATACATCCGAGTACTTGTTTTGTACTAGTAGAGGAGGATTGCAGGTGCACGCCAAGCTCTTGCCAGAACACCAGCACGACGGTTTTGTGTTATTAGTTATGGCAAGCACCGCCAGCCATTTTGGTCAGGTCGTGCCAAACGCTCGGATATTTTTTCGGAGGGGCTCAATCGCAATTCTCAACTTGGCTGGGGGCATGTACTGGCGGTCTAAAGAAAACCATGATGCATTGCATCAGATGCAATCGATTAGTGTTCTTTTTTTTTTTTGGTCCTTTTTTAAAAAAATTAAAGAATTGGGGTATTTGAAGTTCGAACTTCGAAGTCTTCCTCGTGCAAGGAGGCATAGCAGGGCACACAGCATAGCCTAGCTTAGAATGACATAGCATCAGATACATTGCAGCTATACTATACTGAGCAGATACATTGCTATGCTGTGCTCAGCAGATAAGTATACGTTATACTGTGCTAAGCAGATAGGTATATGCTATACTGTGCTAAGCAGATACATTGCTAAGCTGTGCTATACTGTGCTACGCAGATACATTGCTAAACTGTGCTATACGGTGCTAAGCAGATACCGAACATAGCATAGCATGACATAACATGGCATAGCATGACATAGCCTACCTTATCGCAAGCGGCCTATTGTATATACTACATAGTAATATATCAATGGTCACAGTGCCCCTCACACAGCTATATGACATTTGACGTTTTTTTCTGTAATGACGAGAGTTTGTCATCGTCAGCGTGTCGAATTTACCTGGGGGCTCGTTAGTCCAATGATTGAATTTTACCTGGGGGCTGGTTAGTCCGATAAATGAATTTACCTGGGGGCTGGTTAGTCCGATGATTGAATTTACCTGGGCTGGTTAGTTCGATGATAAAATACCTGAAGGTCATCGCCCTTTAAAAAAACCGAAATTAATTAAAAAAAGATAGCTTGAATGACGCTTTGGTCTCAGAAGGGCTGCTAGATACGTTGGCTCGGAAGGCGCTCTCTTAGATGCTGTGGGTTATGTGGCCTCTCACGCTTTCAGTAGCCTGTAGTCTGTTGAGGCAAGAATGACGCTGGCGTCCTTCGGGACATCCGTTAAAATTGGAACGATACAGAGAAGATTAGCATGGCCCCTGCCCAAGGATGACACGCATAAAAAAAAAAAAAAAAAAAAAAAAAAACATGACGCTGACCGGTGCTTCGCCGCCGCCCCCCTGTAACCCGTAAGCTTACAAGGGTTCGAGGCCTGGTAGAGAGATCTGGAGGGGTGGCTTGCTGATTAGCTGTCACTTTCTGTGGCCGATGACGGGCTGAGGCTAACATGACGCTGGGCCGTGCTACCATCCCCGCCCACCCCACCCCCCCCAGTAACCTGTATCTGATGGGCTGGTGCTGCCTCCCCAAAAAGAGAGTGCAGCATTCCGCCCCCGCCCCCACCCCCGCCATCCCGAAAAAAGAAGAAGGTATATGACATTTTGTCGTCTGTCCAGCGTTTTTGCTTCTTTCACTCGAGAAAAATGCCATTGGCGCCTGGCAGGCCATTCTCCCGCTTAAGCAACCCACCGAGCTTACGGAATATCAGACTCTACGATGTTGCATAACAGGGATTACCTCTATAACCTAATAACAGAGGTGAATGACCATGTGGGCCCCACACAAAAATAGGCATAACAGCGATCACCACTATCCAGTCACCCTTAGGATCAGAGCACCTGGTCCAGTTAATGGCATGAAAAAAATGATTGCTGCATTTCTATTACTTTCTAATTATAGATCAACGATTGACCCTTGTCCCCTCTCCCGCGTAGTACATGAATTCGCCCGCCTTAGAGAATTTCTGACTTAACATAAAAGGGGACCTCTACAACCGAGGAGAAAATGTGTATG